TGGCGGCGGTGGGCGAGCATATAAAACGGCAGTGGTTTTTTGATTGGAGAGCAATCAGTTTCCGACACCGGGCGCTGAACTAAAAAAAAACGTAGACACCGACACGATGTGGATCCCGAACCAAAGCACTATCTACGTACTGATGCCACTGGTGATTTTGGCGACCTGGCAGCTGTGCGTTGTTCCCGGGACGGATGCCAAGCACTTGGCCGCCAGATCGCACGACCCCGAAACCGAAACCGAAACGGAACCCCTATCCCAAGTCCACGCACATAATCAAAACAGTGCTGCAGTGCGTCGTCGTGAGCGGAGGCAGCTCTCGGACTGGCTAATCGCACCCAACACGCGGTGGTGCGGACGCGGCAACCTGGCCAATGGAACCTACAACGACCTGGGTGGCGCCTCCAAGGCGGACAAGTGCTGCCGGAAGCACGACCACTGCAAGATGTGGATCGATGGGATGTCCAATCGCTATGATCTCTTCAACTACCGCCCCTACACCCTGTCCCACTGCAGTTGTGACCTGCGATTCCGCACCTGTCTGAAGATGGCCGGCGACGAGGATGCGAACGCCATTGGGAAGCTGTTCTTCAATGTTGTCCAGACGCAGTGCTTCGGCCTGAAGGTGGAGACCGTGTGCGTACAGCGCGGCGGCTCTGGGAAGGAATCCGATCCCTGCCTCAAGGAAGAGTTGCGCCACAAGGCCTTCCTGCGCAACAACAAGCGGTTCTAAGAGTCCTAGGTGGGTCCATATTCGTTATAATACCCATACCATTTTTTCAATAATTATAAAACCCATTTTCAACAAATGTTAACTAGCATGTTATTCAGAATTATGACTGAAAAATACTTATATTGCATTTATCTCACACCCTTATCATTACCAAAAGTTGAAAAACTCCTTATTCAGAAATAACGCATTTCAGAAATTTCGAGAAGCTTTGATTGTATATGTATAAAAATTCATCTAACTAGTATTTAATTCAAAACAATAATATATATTATATTTTGTGGATTGAAATTAGAAACCAAGAAACCTAATCAAAGGTTATAAGAAAATATTTTAGTCCCCAAATATCTCACATACATTTTTCTGAAACTATGCTTTAGATAACATGCTTTTAGATTTAGCTTAAATTCGTATTGACTATAACTATAACTTGTTTTTGTGCAATATTTCCAGTTATCGCACAATGACCGGCAGGATTGGAGTATCCCAAAGTCGCCTGCCCTTATAAGAAGCGAACAAACCGCCCCAGAGTGCTGCAATTGAGTTTGAAACTTAATGGGAAAGCATGGCAAAACACCATACACCATCATCATCCGTACTTAGTGGAGGAGAGATAGCAAGAGACACCCGTCTATGGATTAAGCCATATACCTACATATGTATATGACTTTCAAGTGCTATTATAATGCGTAGTAGTCGATACGATAAACACTTAGCTGTAGTCAATCAATCTAGTTAAGGCCGACGGATCAAATATAGGCTGCCAGAAAACCAAGTTTTTAACTAGCTGTAGACCCCGTAGATACCCTATAAGCACTGTATGTAATTAGTTGTAGACGTAGTAATTTAATAAAAGGAATTTCCAAAGAGTAAAAACCCTAAACATGTGTGTGTATATGTACATAGGTATTTTGTAAATACGAGCTCTAGAATCCGGCAATCCGGCGTGGAATGTCGTACTTTGCCCGTGCTCTCGGTATCAGCATCCATCCACCTAGTATAGACGTATGTCTGGACTGTGCTCATCGCATTGACGTAGCTGTTGCCCCTTCAGATGACCAGGCGCTGACCCCTGATTCGCATGCCCGCCTCTCAATTGGCTACCACTTGGCGTTCTGGGTCAGATGCGTCATGGTCTTGTCTGGTCGTCAGGTTGTAGAAGAAGCGCCCATGGGTCAAGAAGTCTCCTTGGTCCAGTCCAAGTCCAAAGTATTAGAATAATTATATTTGATGATGGAAAAACATCTCTATTTGCGGGCTATTCCTATGACTAGGATTAATTCCCAATATATGATAAGATGTTATTATATTGCCTATTTTAAATAGATTATTGTTTTTGGTTATTCCAATAAATAGATGCAAGTTATATGGTATGGGTACCATTTAAAAAATGTACAGATACGTCTATGGGTCAAGAAGCTTCATTGGTCGAGTCCAAGTCCAAAGTATTAGAATTAGAATGTGAATATATAATTGAAAAACAAATTTTTTTCTGAGGGCTATTCCTATGAATAACTTCAATTCCCAATATATAATAAGTAGTTATTATATTGCCTATTCGAAACAGATCTTTGTTTTTCGTTATTCCAATAAATAGGTGCAAATTATATGGTATATGGTACCCATAAAGAGCTACATATATGTATTTATATCATACGACAGATTATCTCAATTGATATTATATATTAATTGAAACGAATCCAGGGTTGGATGGTATTCATTAACAATTTAAGATGGGAAAACAAAAAATGCTTCATATTTTCATATCCTTATTTACTTATATGTAGTTAAGCATACAAATACAACACACTAGGGGGTCTTGGTCAAGAAACATCAAGAATCATAATCAAAACCCGAGCCTGACGCAATCGAATATAAATAAATATTTGTGTTATTATTATTTACTATTGATTGTTGTGCAGTTTGCAACAGAGGGGCCCGTCTGTTTTGGAGCTTGTAAAGTACTCGTAAATACTTCCTGTCAGTTGGCTTCAATGTCATCGTATTGTAATCGCTGCTTTCGTTTTTGCTCGGAGACTCGGATTTCAATACGTTACAATCTGAAACTGAATACTAGATTTATACGCACTCATTGCATTCGTTTTTTTCTTCGTAAGCACTATATTTGTTGATCTCGCAAACAGTTGCGTCACAAAAACTTAAACCGATAAGCAAAAGGAAAGTAATATTCTTTAACAAATAAATAGGTTGAATTTTGCAAATTAGACACCTATATTTATCAAATTATAACCTAAAGGCACATACACCCAAAGTATCTTTAAATGCAAACTGAAAGTACCCCAATATAAAGATATAATTTTATGATTATTATATTCTTTACCTATAATAACGACATTTAAAGTGCTTTTTCGTTTCCATTTTGATCACCCAACATTTCATCAAAGTAGCTCTCAGTTGAGTTTTCCAATTTTCGAAACCACATTCGCTTTGTCAAAATTGTAAAGAGTTTAAGCGAACTTTCGGATTCGTTTGGCATTGTGGTGCAAGTGAATATCGCAGCCGGAGATGGACACGCCAGTTCCGATGGCGATGGTACCCACCAGCCTCAATCCGATCCTCATCCAACGATCAATGCCGGCGTCGGTGGCCAGACCCAGTCAATCCAGGACGAAATCACCGGATAACGAGGCGATGGATACCGTTTTGGTCTTTAAGTAAGCAATGGTTTCTTTGCCAGCTGATGAATAATAATCCTCTTCCCAAGAAGCAAGGAAAAGGTGGCTCCGCCGGCATCAACCTGGTTGAATCCCCTCCAGCGGCTAATGGATGAGGTTCGGGAGGCACTGCGAGCACAACCGCATGCCAGTGACATTCGTCTACTGATCTTTACGGCGGCGGCCAGCAGCCAGGATCACGAGCGGACCCTCATCCCTGTGCCGCCGCAATTCCAGGCGAAACCCGGCTCTGGCTGTCAAGTGGATCGACTGCGTCACTCCGTCGCCGACAATTGGCCATCGTGTCGCCTCATGCTGGACAGCCCCAGTGCCGACGAGCAGTATGCCGATTTGACAACCGATGATGTGGAGGCCCTACACTTGCTGCACTGGCTCCTGGTGGCCACGCCCTCATCGCCCACTTTGCGTCGCATGTCGGGATTGCATTTGCGACGACTCTGCCGGGTCTTGGGATTGGCCCGACCCACCTTGGAGCCCGGTCATCTGCTGAGCATCAGCTATGAAAAGGATGACCAGGGGCGGTGGGGTGCTCCAAGTGCCAAGCCCAGTTATGCCTTTCTGGGCTTGCCATTCAAGTATCTGTATCGCTTCCTGGCCACTGGCAGCCTGGAGCATCCACCAGGTGTACCCATCCGTTTGTATGCCCAACCGGAAACGGCTTTGGTTCACTGCGAAGAACTAGATCTGCCGTCACTGGCGCCGACGCCGCCGCCGCCGGAGGAGGAGCCGGAAGTCCAGGAGCAGGTGGAGGAGCAGCCCTCACCCTCCCGATCCTCTCCGGGTGAGGAGAAATCGGAGAACCCACTGTGCTGGCGGAACTCCATCCTAACCTCACCGCAAAGGGCTCTGGTGATTTGCCAATTGCCACCGGAGTTGGACGAGTCCATTGCCCATTCGCCGCAGAAGCACTTCTTGGAGTACTTTGTCCAGGAATCGGTGGGCCTGAGGCCCTGCTATTTGCTCCTCTTCGACGAGTCGGTGGCCGCCAAAACAATGTTCGCCTGGCCGGGCAGACGCATCGAGGTGGAGAACACTGGTCCTTCGTTGGCCCAGAGATCCCGCGCCAGGATTTTGGGATGGGCAAGGCATGTGGGAGACAAGTGGGGAGCCTTCAAGCGGGCCCTAGCCGCCCTATAGCTGCCATCTATATGAATATTTATAATACAGACTATGGGATTACTTGGGATTTGAGACTGTTTTTAGAATTCTGGCTGGATCCTTGATCTCGGCCAGGTAAAGTCCCGGAGACGATGACTCCAGCGACCTGGAGCTACTTTATGTTTCGATTTTTCTTTATCAATTGTTAATAAATATGTGGCTAAATTCAGTTGTCTCAAAGTTTTTTAAAGGCTAGGATTGAGTATAGCGATAGGAAAATGGAGTAGTTAAACTAAATATCTCCATTTTGATTTCGACATTTTGATATTAATGAATTCAGTACTTTTTAAATATCATAACAGATAGGAGCTTAAAGAAAAATTTTCGTAATAGCAAAAAATTTAGATAATACAAAAAAATGTGAGGTAGCTACCAAAAAATAAATAGGTATTTATAAGACAGTATTTCGACTCTTTTTTTGTGACTAGTTTCGAGAACTTGTCAAATATTTATTAAAATATGCTATGGCTGATGGCTGGATTTGTTGCCATCATAAAAAATAAATAACAAGGGTTCCAGATGGACGAGCTTAGTTCCTCTGGACGGGATTACGATTACGATTACGATTAGTCTGTGATACATTCTCCGGAGTGTAGTCCATCACGAATCTGTAGCGCTTGCGCTGATACTGCGACTGTCGCAAATAGACACTGGCCATTCCCTTGGTGGCCACGAAGGACAAGCCGCCCAGGAAGATGGCCAGCAGCTTGTTGCACTCGAACAGGCGGCCGAAGAGACACTGGCCCAGGATCACGGCGACGGTGGGCAGACTAAGGGCGATGCAAAAGCTGGTGGAGGCACGCCCCAGGTGCTCGGTGGCCAGGGCACCGCCCAGTTGGCCATCCGAATCCGGATGGTCGCGCTCCAGCTGATCGAAGTACTCATCATCCAGCGGCGCACCGGGCAGTGGTTCGCCCATTGCGTCCAGATGGGCGGCTGGAACGCCCAAGCGATTGTGACGACGCAGCCAACGGATCACGGTATCATCCCAACGCACCATCCTGCCCAGAAGCAGCAGTGCCGGCACCGACGGCAGCAGGATCATAAGCAAGGTGGGATCCTCCTGGAGTATACGCATGCCCGTCTCAAACCCCGATACTTCGAGCAGAGTCAATGCTCCATAGGTCACGGCCGAGAAGTAGACGGTGGACGCCAGGATGCCCATCAGAACACTAGGACACAGGCGCTCGTACACCTTGTCCAATAGCTCCAGTAGAGCATCAAAGCGACATAGTGGCGGCATCACTATAATGTACTGGGTGCGGCACTGGGTGCAAGTCACTGGAACATCCGGCGCCTGGATCTGCTTCTCGTCAATCCAACGACTCAGGCAGGCCTCGTGCACCCACTTATTGGTACCGCGACAGCGACACGGATGCAGCCAATCTCGGCGAGGCTGATCCTCGTCGCCATTCAGACAAATCCAGCACATACGGTCATCCTCGGGATTTCCAGTGGGCGGCTCCACTCCGCTTCGCAAACGACGACGGCGACTGGGCATTGGTGATTGGGCACTCGAGCGGTTCCGGCGGTACATGATGATGGTGATACTGATGAACGATGGTGATGGTGGGCGATGAGCTTCAAGGATCCAATCTCCAATAGGAGATCGCAAGTGAAATTTTGTTCAAGCGCCTGAAGTAGCAACTTGGATTTTGTCTGGTTAGGAAAACCTTGCTGTAGGTTCTGAACGAACTCGGTTGAATGTTGATTTACATAAGAATACTGGCCTACTTCTCCATTGAAATTTTGAACTTACAATATACCATCTTGAAATTTCTTATATCATTTGTTTCAGTATCCCATATAATTCCTATAATTCAACAAATACTTATTTGATGTTAAATAAATATGGGAAAATACTTTAATACTTGCTTATAAGCTTATCACTTTTATATTATATCATACCAATATCATATTATATCTACTATAATAAGTATAACCTTATTCCTCGATAAAATATTACCAGGGCTTATATTTTATTTATATTGTAAGTCAGTAGTTCGTAACGCCCTTTTAAATCCTAGGAGTTTTTAAAATAAAATGATTGTTCTAGATTTCGAGTGTACTCCTTGCGTTCTCATTTATTTTTTTAGTGGTTTACTTTCAGCGAATGTGGCACATGCCAAAAGGAAAACCTGTTGGCCCACTAAGTGAAAATAGGCGAAGGCCAAGTCCAAGAGCAGCCAGAAACTGGATCTGCTGGATCTGGATGCAAATGTCTGGCTTGGGCCAAAACATACGAGATATAAATAATACTGTTCCACACTTACCATACCGATGATCTTCAGTTGGGCATTTTTTAAATCAGGATCACAAACAACACAATCACTGATCACAAAACAAAAAAATATTTATCAAACTCTTTCGCGGTTTGGTTTTCGGGTGGCGAATCCGATCCGCAAGTCAAGAAAACTTCGCGACGTACCGAAAAATAAGCAGAACCTGTCGGCTCGAGAGCAGAAGAACATTTGGCCAGCTTGAAATATCTCCAAGTTGGCCAGAATTCGAGAACCAGACTGGGAAAGCCAGCCTTTCCATTCCACTTTTCCACTTTGGCAACGGTCTGCACAGAGGGAAATCTATTTAAGATCTTGATACTTTTATAACAGCAGGTTCTAGTTTCAATGGGAATACAATAAGGATCTACAAAAATAGATAAATATTTATACTGGTAATGGTATAGTAGGTATTATGAAAATCGCATGTGATATCATAAGTTCAATATTATTGCAATAATATATATTCAATTTCAAAAACCCGAATACCATGGGTATCCTGTAAAACCATATAATATAATCTAGATGTAGAGATTTCAAAATATAACCATAGAGTAAATGTATATTCATTATAATTTTTATTTTTTATCCAATCTATACAAAATCATTAATTTGTTCTATTAATTTACGTGGTTTTTTAATATCAATTCAAATATTATACTGATCTCTAAATGTTGTTTATAAATATTTTTCTCTGAGTGATCCGGTCAACGGTAAAGCACTACAAAGTGTGGCACCACTGCGAATTGGGCCAGAAATCGGTGGCCAGGTGGAGTTGGAGGAGTGGTTCCTGGGATGGCGATGGAGGTGAGGAGAGGCACCTGGTCTCCTGGCAGGTGCTTCGCCTTGGGATAAATAAACGTGGGCAAGGGTTGTGGATGTCGGAATGGAAGGTGCGGCAATACGATCCAGTGGTTAGCAGGCTTCTGTTCTGCCCGATTAGCGATCATTATCGATTTCACTTGTAATTCAGAATCTGTTAAGGCTCAAAGAGTGCTGCACTGGGGTAAAAATTCTGGTATAACTAAAGAATTTCAAGCAGGTCCCAATTTGTTGGCACATTTTTTTTTTAATTTATGCGTCAAGGATTTCGTGAGTGAAATAACATTTTCGACATCCCAGCACTGAATATCCGTTGCAGAATATGCCATATTAAAATTGAATTTAATTCGATCACATATCTTTCCCAGTGCTCTTGAAGATAATGGTCTTCAATTTGTTTTGTTGAATCGCTCGCCGAGATTCATCCCCTTGATGAGCGTATAGAGCGAAAATGAGAACTTGGCTATCTGAAAATACGGAAGCGAATTACATGAGTATTTTATTAAAACTGGGTTATAGTTTTAAAATTTAAATTATTGATTGACAAAAATCGGAATTTCTTATTTTTGACAAAAAAGTGAACCCTTTTTTTTTGCCAAAAATATTCAGTTTTTTGGCTGCCATAACAAAAATATAAGTCAGAATGAGGAATATCATACCTCGTTAATCGTTGTTTAATTTCCAATCTATTGGCATTCTAACCTGAAAATTTTTCATTTTCATTTTTGCCATTTTGCGCCCAAAATTCCCCTTACAAAAAATGAAAAAATTTGTCAAAAAATAAATCTCTCTTAAACTGATAGAAATCGATAGCAATTGAAGCAAGCTGCTCAAAACTGTCGGTCTTTTAGCTGTACGCCTTGATTTGGCTAAACTACGACTGAAAAACCACTAAAAAATGAGTATTTTTGACCAAAATCTGAATCTCAAAAATAAACGACCTACCCCCTTACAAAAATTGAAAAATGTGTCAAAAAATAAATCTTTCTTAAAGTGATAGGGTTCGATAGCAATTGAAGCAAGCTGCTCAAAACTGTCGGTCTTTTAGCTGTACGCCTTGATTTGGCTAAACTACGACTGAAAAACCACTAAAAAATGAGTATTTTTGACCAAAATCTGAATCTCAAAAATAAACGACCTACCCCCTTACAAAAAATGAAAAATGTGTCAAAAAATAAATCTTTCTTAAAGTGATAGGGTTCGATAGCAATTGAAGCAAGCTGCTCAAAACTGTCGGTCTTTTAGCTGTACGCCTTGATTTGGCTAAACTACGACTGAAAAACCACTAAAAAATGAGTATTTTTGACCAAAATCTGAATCTCAAAAATAAACGACCTACCCCCTTACAAAAAATGAAAAAATGTGTCAAAAAATAAATCTTTCTTAAAGTGATAGGGATCGATAGCAATTGAAGCAAGCTGCTCAAAACTGTGGGTCTTTTAGCTTTACGCCTTGATTTGGCTAAACTACGACTGAAAAACCACTAAAAAATGAGTATTTTTGACCAAAATCTGAATCTCAAAAATAAACGACCCCCCCCCTTACAAAAAATGAAAAAATTTGTCGAAAAATAAATCTTTCCTAAAGTGATAGGGATCGATAGCAATTGAAGCAAGCTGCTCAAAACTGCCGGTCTTTTAGCTGTACGCCTTGATTTGGCTAAGCTACGACTGAAAAACCACTAAAAAATTAGTATTTTTGACCAAAATCTGAATCTCAAAAATAAACGACCTACCCCCTTACAAAAATGAAAAAATGTGTCAAAAAATAAATCTTTCTTAAAGTGATAGGGATCGATAGCAATTGAAGCAAGCTGCTCAAAACTGTCGGTCTTTTAGCTGTACGCCTTGATTTGGCTAAACTACGACTGAAAAACCACTAAAAAATGAGTATTTTTGACCAAAATCTGAATCTCAAAAATAAACGACCTACCCCCTTACAAAAAATGAAAAAATGTGTCAAAAAATAAATCTTTCTTAAAGTGATAGGGATCGATAGCAATTGAAGCAAGCTGCTCAAAACTGCCGGTCTTTTAGCTGTACGCCTTGATTTGGCTAAGCTACGACTGAAAAACCACTAAAAAATTAGTATTTTTGACCAAAATCTGAATCTCAAAAATAAACGACCTACCCCCTTACAAAAAATGAAAAAATTTGTCAAAAAATAAATCTTTCTTAAAGTGATAGGGATCGATAGCAATTGAAGCAAGCTGCTCAAAACTGCCGGTCTTTTAGCTGTACGCCTTGATTTGGCTAAGCTACGACTGAAAAACCACTAAAAAATTAGTATTTTTGACCAAAATCTGAATCTCAAAAATAAACGACCTACCCCCTTACAAAAAATGAAAAAATGTGTCAAAAAATAAATCTTTCTTAAAGTGATAGGGATCGATAGCAATTGAAGCAAGCTGCTCAAAACTGTGGGTCTCTTAGCTTTACGCCTTGATTTGGCTAAACTACGACTGAAAAACCACTAAAAAATGAGTATTTTTGACCAAAATCTGAATCTCAAAAATAAACGACCCCCCCTTACAAAAAATGAAAAAATTTGTCGATAAAGAAATCTTTCTTAAAGTGATAGGGATCGATAGCAATTGAAGCAAGCTGCTCAAAACTGCCGGTCTTTTAGCTGTACGCCTTGATTTGGCTAAGCTACGACTGAAAAACCACTAAAAAATTAGTATTTTTGACCAAAATCTGAATCTCAAAAATAAACGACCTACCCCCTTACAAAAAATGAAAAAATGTGTCAAAAAATAAATCTTTCTTAAAGTGATAGGGATCGATAGCAATTGAAGCAAGCTGCTCAAAACTGTGGGTCTCTTAGCTTTACGCCTTGATTTGGCTAAACTACGACTGAAAAACCACTAAAAAATGAGTATTTTTGACCAAAATCTGAATCTCAAAAATAAACGACCCCCCCCTTACAAAAAATGAAAAAATTTGTCGAAAAATAAATCTTTCTTAAAGTGATAGGGATCGATAGCAATTGAAGCAAGCTGCTCAAAACTGTCGGTCTTTTAGCTGTTCGCCTTGATTTGGCTAAACTACGACTGAAAAACCACTAAAAAATGAGTATTTTTGACCAAAATCTGAATCTCAAAAATAAACGACCCCCCCCTTACAAAAAATGAAAAAATTTGTCGAAAAATAAATCTTTCTTAAAGTGATAGGGATCGATAGCAATTGAAGCAAGCTGCTCAAAACTGTCGGTCTTTTAGCTGTTCGCCTTGATTTGGCTAAACTACGACTGAAAAACCACTAAAAAATGAGTATTTTTGACCAAAATCTGAATCTCAAAAATAAACGACCCCCCCCTTACAAAAAATGAAAAAATTTGTCGAAAAATAAATCTTTCTTAAAGTGATAGGGATCGATAGCAATTGAAGCAAGCTGCTCAAAACTGCCGGTCTTTTAGCTGTACGCCTTGATTTGGCTAAGCTACGACTGAAAAACCACTAAAAAATTAGTATTTTTGACCAAAATCTGAATCTCAAAAATAAACGACCTACCCCCTTACAAAAAATGAAAAAATTTGTCGATAAAGAAATCTTTCTTAAAGTGATAGGGATCGATAGCAATTGAAGCAAGCTGCTCAAAACTGCCGGTCTTTTAGCTG